TGGGAAAATTTTATCCCTACACAGTGATTTACTCTTTATTGCAAGATTACTAACAAGAGTAATTAAATTTCACACATATCTAATGCATGCAATTAATTTGTGATAATACCATATTTTGGTTACCCAACAAACAAGGATCATTTCCTTAAATCACGGGAAAGCAGCCGTTTTTTCTTTGGAAAAAAAAATATAATGATAATGGTAAGTGTATATCCTATGGATATTCTTCAATTCAAATTTAAATCATATGTAGTTTGAAATTAAAAGTTTATTATTATCTGTAGGATATATTTGTAGTATATTTTCTGGGAGGTCTCATGTTTTTATATATTTTCTTTTCATTTTTTTGAAATCTAGATGGATCCACAAAATTTGCGTTATATACTGAATATATACTAAATATATACTGAATAATAAGTCATGATGTCGGTATATATTTTGTATGTATACTGAATATATTCTATGTATGTGTATACCGAATATATACTAAATATATACTGAATATATATTTAATATACATAAAATAAACCATCGAAAAATATTTGGTATATATATTGTATATATTTACCGAAAATATACTGCAAATCAGACATTGCGAATAATATTAATTTATCCATACATAACGATTTCTCACTCTGCATACTCCAAATCATTATTACAGCAAAATCAAGCACCATTGTTGATGCAACATCCCTTCATTTTCCATTCAATTTTTTTCAACCCACATCATAAAATCTTAAAAACTACACATAAACTTCAAATAATGTCGGATTTGCCATACTGGAGGACCAGCGCCGGCGAACCGCTATCTCCGGTTAGGTGGTCGCCAGTCGGAGCTTAGGTCGCCTTACTCCCGGAGGGTATGCCAATCCATCGATCTGCCAACCCCGCACTCATCCAAGCCGTGGGTCGCCCGTAATCGACCGATATAAAAAACAGATAAAAATTTAAATGTAATGTTGTAGAAGAAGAAGAAGACAGAGGGAGAGAACAAGAAGAAGAAGAAGAAGAAGAAGAAGAAGAAGAGAGAGAGAGAGAGAGAGAAAGAGAGAGAGAGAAAGAAAGAAAGTGTCGTGATAAAATTTTGGGAAGTTGAAAAGTCTTCCATTAATTACTCTAAAAATTGATTACAAATGTAACTTAATGATTTTATTGATATTGGTAGTTTTGCAAATAAATAGGGCTCAACTAGTTGAATTGCTATTATTTATGATTTGGTTTCATATATGTAATAAAAAATTATATATAACGTAAACTGTGCAAATTTCTCTTATATAATTACTCAAAGTACAACAGTTATGGATGACCTTAGATCGCCACTATGTTTCGTGATGTGTACACAAATAACTAGGGGTGTAAAGCCCTTAATGAGTTTATAATCGAGTTTGAGTTCAACTCGTTTATCAATATTAATAAGGCAAACTCGAGTCAAAATCGAATTGAACTATATGAAAATACATAAAAATCATCTATTCGAGTCTTGACCAGCATTATCAATTCGAGCTCGATTGAACGAGCTTTAAATGAGCTCGAGCTGAGACGCGCTCGAGCCTTAACGAGTCGAGCTGACCCGAGATTACGAGCAACTAGTTTAATTTAACATTTCTACATGGCCATGCTAATCTAATCTCATCCATTCTCCTTGCATAGTCCATTATCTTTTTGTAGGGCCATTTGTTTTTAGGAAATTTTTAAGTTTGCTACGTGATTTTAAATTAATTGCAACTCTATCATACAAGTAGAAATAGTTGTGTCTCTACTTAAGAGACCTAATTTATTTATATTAATGCCTAAAGTCAGTTATCATATCTTTTCAACCTCCATCCCCTTTATATGCGCTTGGTTAAGAGAGAGAAATGAAAAAAATGCATATAGCAAATAACTGACTCCTTTTAATTCCTTAATTTGCGCAGATTGTACGTTTTTAATAGAGAGAAATAAAAACATGTATTGTAATTCACGCAGCTGTCCAGGTGAGTATATATTGCGTTTATATTAGTATATATGCGGTATATGTTGTAATGAAAAACATGTGTTCTATTAAAAATTATGTCTTCATTTTTTTTTTTTAAATTTAATGTTAATTGAAACGTACGCGAATTGATAGTTTTTATTAATGGTATATTTATCGTTTTTTTATTNTGTTTAAAACATAACAAAGCAAACATCAATTAAACACAATACTTAATATGTACATAAAAACATAATTAATTTGTACATACCAAACATAAATTAAGATGTACAATAACTATACATATCCTTAAGATGTACATATACTGTACGTAAACTAATTTGTATAATGAAACTATACTCCGTTACCATCGTCACCCTTCTCGGCAAACATCAATTTTCCTGCAACCAACCAACCATGGCAACGCCTAACCCTCGACGTGTACGTCGACAGAAATTGAGGACATCATAAAACTCTTCCAAAAAAGCAAAAAAATGGCTGACGGAGAAAGAGAATGGGAAATCCATCTCCAATCGTTATTCTCTGCCGCCAGGGACGCCACCGACTCAGCCTCCGGTTCCTCCCTCCTTAACTCCGTCGCGCGCCTCCATGACCTCTGCAGAGACGACAAGAAATTAGTGATGTCTTCTCGGGTCAGCCACCAATTTTGAGGTTCGAGCCTTGTGCGTCGCGCCGCCGCTCGTGGCCCCGCCAAATCGGGACTTCCTCAGATCTTGAATTGAAATGTAAGGTTAATTTTGAAATTGGTAATTTATGAGGGTGATGAAACGAGTCGGCGGAAAAAGAAGAAGAAGAAGTGGACGGGAGGGCCGGATGAAAAGAAGAAGAAGAAGAAGAAAAAAGAAAAGAAAGGAATAGGGAGAGATGATAGAGAAGAGAATGAGAGTTAATGCATAAAATGATTAAAATCCCATGTAATCCGTCTCTTTCTCTAATTAAAGGATAAGTTGACATAAATTTGAATTCTAATATATGTGCAATTATGTTGTGGTGATTTTGCATCTTTGCAAATAAAAATTAACTAATACAAAAGCTTGTTAAAAAATTATTCTTAAATTTTAAAATTAATGAAAAAAATTATTTTAAATTTTATTTACTTTTTTACAAAAAAATATATATTATTATATATTTTAGAATGACACTTGTTACTTGTGCGACTTACATGTGTTATATTATAGTAATTTTTATAACTTATATCATATAACTACTTGAAATATAAATATATCAATTGATAAATAATTTATTTTTCTAACTAATATAAAAATAAATTTATTATTGTTATAAAGATAAATATAATTAATTTTTTTTATACATACAACATGGATGTTAAATCAAATCTCATCAATAAATGTTTAATTTGATATATTATAAGTCTACTGCAACCAATATAAGTCATTTTTCGTCCAAATATAAATCAAAATTTTTGCACTCTAAATTTTGCACCACCATTAGAGATTAATTATCTTGTTTGGTAATGAATTTATTTGAGTGGTCTTTTGGAATAAAAAAGCTAATTTTGAAAAAACTCAAAAGAATAGCATTCTNNNAATACAATGTAACAAATACCAAACATGTAGTTGACAAACCGTTGATTGAATTCATTAGTAAAACCAACTAATACAATCTGCTATCTGATTTTGCTAGAAAAGTACTCATAAATTAGAAGAAATCCTATATTTGGACTTGGTGTGCAATGACTTCAATCCGCCTTGCACGACCCGGATCTGCGTTCTGACCTGTTCGTAGACCTAAAAAATAGGTCGGGAGGGGTTCTCGATGTTAGTACTCCAACGATCAAATTAGACTATAGTGATGAAGACGATGAAGTATAGATATAATAAATCTCTATAAATATATAGAGTATGTAGAGTGCAAATAGACATAACTTACCCCTTATGCAGGGTGCTATCTTCTTGCTCAAGATTGCATGGATGAGCTGCCCGGACTGCCCGAATTGCTCGTTCATACTACACGAACTGCACAATTCTGTTAAGTCATGTGGCCCTATCCACGTGTGGTTCTTATCTTAATAATATTCTTTCTTATCCTTAGTCTTTTGTATTAGACGGTCCAACCATACGACCGACTCGACCTCTCGTGAGGCAGATCGTCTTCCCGGCTAAGCTCGTGTACAATGTCTCTTAGGTCGATCCTTCGACCAGCATATCCCAAGGTCGAGTTTCTATCAGGCCATCTGAGGGCCTTAGCTCGACTTGTCAGCGATACCTCTTCAGGTTGCGTCCCCGTCGACCTGCGGACTCTGTTAGATCTGTAGCACCAGTCGATCTACCTGTTCACCCGATTCGGTCTGCTATTGGTTCTCATATAAAATCTTCCGGTCTGCTATTGGTTCTCATATCCTTCAGAGACCACGATTGTAATAGGAGCATTCATCGACAAAAGGATCACTTAAGCTTATCGTTTCATGGCTATTGAGAAACTGCTCAGCAATAGTCGGACAAGTGGGAAATGTTGGGCGAATAAAAAAGTTTGGGTAGAGCCGGATACAAGCGTTGTCTAGGTAAAGCTTCTTGTAACAAGAGGAGTCATCCTTTATGCCACCTGTAAAATGACTCACCACAACAGTAGTGAGCACCAGATCAACTAATTGTCAAACAATGTCATTACTATTGTTAAAAAAATTATATTTAAACTTAAAATTAAAAAAAAAAATCAAATATTTTTTTTAAAAGTCTTTTTTTATTTATATTTAAAATGACACACATCGCTTTTATGACTTAACATCTTATATTATTATATTTTTTTAATTTATATCATATAACTAATTTGTAGTTAAATTGATTTAATAATTTTGTTTCAATTAATAATAATATATAATTTAATTTTTATTATGAAGATAAATATAAGTATTTATTTATTTTTATGTACAATACAGATGTCAAATCGAATCTCAACAAGACATGATTAATTTGATATATTATATGTGAAAATTTGATAATAAATAAAAAATTTATTAGCTTTTAAATATATTTATAATTTTTTTGTCATTATAAAAGAAAGATGAAGAACATAGAAAGATTGGAGAAAAAAATCATGCCTTATAAATCACACTAGTTTTTGTCCCGTGCATTTGCACGGAAAACTATATGATACATGAAAAAATAATAAAAATTATAAACAATAGTAAAAATCATAACAAATTCATTGAAAAAAATTAAAAAAAAATATAAATATTCTTAAACACTTCTTTATAAAACAACGTCGTGGTTTTTCTATCGTCAAAATCTCCCTCAGCTCAAATCAAAATCTTCAAACCCCACTGACTCGTAACTCTAAAAAGCGCCACGTATAATTGCTCATGACTGAATGCAGAGCTCTTCAGTAGTAAGCCGACGTGCGACAGAGACTGTCTTTGACTCTTATTGATCATGTCATAGCATAGGAAACACTTCTTTATATTGTTTGTCTTTGACTCTTATTGATTGATAGAGATTATCCTTGCTTCTTAATAAAAAAATACCATCTAAATATAACTGAGTAAATATAATATTAATTTTTTATATAAACAAAAAATTTAAAGTAATTGATAATGAGTATAGAATTACCCTTGCGGATTCAAGTTATTTCAACGATGTTCTTTTTATATATCTAAGATTTAATTTTTTTTCTGATTTATATGAATATAAGCACATTTGACTAATTTTTATAAAATTTATTGAAAAAAAAGTTACTCTTCTTTTGAAAAACTGATAAGATATTAAGATAATACTGTACTTAACATAAATGTGAGATTAATTAAAATAAATATTTTTAATTTAGTCATTAACTAATTAAATTTAACTATAAAAAACCTTCTTAAATGTGAGATTAATGAGTAATTAATTAAAAAAATGTAACTTCTTTTGGAGGGAAAGTGAAAATATTTTTATTAAATGTTTTATTAAATAGGATTAGCTAGCAATTATATATATATAGATTGAGAATAGGAAATAATGTTATAACTTAATTAATTCTCTTAAAAATGATCATAAATATATATGGATATTCCAATCATAGTTATTTTTTGATTGGAAATAAATTAAAGTCCATCTAAACCAAATGACAAAACATAAGAATTTGTCAAATAAGATTTCGAAGCGTGCGGACCTGCCACTTAAGCTCAGCGCATTTTGAAATTATATATAGGGTGATCTTTTTCTTTTATATATATATATATATATTAAAAAATAATTACATATTATAATAGATATTACTAAAATTGGTATATTTGGAAAGATGGTAGAAAATAATGTGACATTTTTAATGTATAATTTTCTACCATTTATAAGTATTTTTTAATACTTACTAAAGAAATGTTCAGAATAACTAGATATGGTGGATGTTTTAAATTCCAACCCTTTATATTGAAATAACTAAGATATTAATATAATATAAATATAGAAGGAAACCAAAATTTATGGATAAAAATAAAGTTTATGATAGAAGTATTATTATTTTATATATAAATATAAATTTAGTGTTATATTATTTACATTTTTAAGAATGAAGGTTTTGGATAGAGTTGTTGATACAGTCTTTCATTTTCTCTAATGCTGTTTAAATTCTTCTTCTTCGAGGCTACCTTTTCTTTTAACTTATTCAACGAGCCTACCTTTTCTCGCGCAGTAAAACCAAAAACAATATAGATAATAATGTAATGATTTAAAATATTTAAACATAAAATTTATTTTTATTAAAAATATATTTAAAAGTATAAAAACTAATCTTATAACAAATTTTATATCTGACAGTTTTTGATCGGTTCAAATTGGTTTTAACTGGTTCGACCATAACTGTCGGTTCTTGTTTGGTTCATGTATAATTGGGTTTTTCAAAAGATTCAATTTTGTTTTTGGTCTCCATCGGCCGATCCAAGTCGATTTCCATAACCATCAGTAATACTATTGTTAATAATAAATGTGATATCCTGGCATTAGTTGGTCAGGCCTGCCATCAGTAATACTATTGTTAATAATAAATGTGATATCCTGGCAAATAATAAAAAATGTAATAACAAATGTGATATCCTGGCATTAGTTGGTGAGGCCTGATATTGGTTGGTGAGGTTGAGTGACATTACAGCGTAAACTAAAATGGTGAAAATAAATATTAATCTATTTTTTATTTTATTATGATTGTATTTAATAATAAGATGGTTCATTATATTTTCATTATTTATACAGAAAACATATTTCAAGCAATGTATTATTTAACTTTAATTGCTAGTAACTATTTATCTAATATAAATTATAGATTGACAACTTGAAAAAATGTATATCTTGTAACTTTAAATTAATCACTATTGTTAAGTTAATAATAATTGTGCTTCTCCATAAAAACAAATAGACCTATATTGTAAATAAACACCTAATTAAGATTTTCTTAGTATTGATTTTAAACCAGCAATTTACTCTTGACTTGTAATGAGTAACTTTAACAGTTTTATACAAGCATCTCATAAAATTTGCAAGTTAATCCAACCAAAATGATCTGATATCCACTAAAACAATCAATAATCATACCTCTATTTGACCTGAAATCTAGAGTATGTATTTCACATTCACAACTAGCAAACAAGAATTTAAGATGATATTGCCATTCAAGAATGCACCCAAACAAACACCATCTCTACAAAAGCCTAAACAACTATTCAAAATGGTAAATTCATGCTGGGACTCAATAAAACCCCATCTTATTGCCAACACAATCTGCATTTTCTGATACAATAAAAAAGACTTAAATACAAACCAACACATACTACACTTACATGACTATACAAGCAGATCAGTCCAAATCAATCAGCACAAAATATAGGAAATTTTTGCTGCTTTAACTTCGCCAGCCGAATCAAATCATCTGACCATCTCAGACATTCCAGGCAAGCACGTAGTGTGGGCCTCTCTAGTCTGCCTCGTATTGTAAGAATTGCAGTTCATGCACTTGTGGGCCACAATGTGATAGTTAACCTCGGATGTTTTCCCACAGTCGTTACATAAAATCCAGACCTAAAAGCATTGTAGCATTTATGCATTAAGGTTATCGAGTAATAATATATGTAAACATGAAACAAGTATTAAATGAGGATTGGCTCCAAAACTCTCTTCTTACCATCCTATTTTGATACATTTGAGGCATAGGAGTCAAAGCAACCTGAAATTTTAACGTGTCAGCTGATTTTTGCTTTAACTCATTACAATTTGAGAGAAGGAAAAAAAAAATTATCTTTAAATACTGCAAATACTCCTGTTGTCATATTACACAATAATTATGTTGTAAATAGATTAAACCTTAGGGGCAGTTTTTGTGATTATGAGAATATCCATGATATTGCATGTGTGTATAAATATATACCTCCTGATCAAGCCTTTCCCAGACACGGGTCATATCGCAATATGATTTCGAGCAAATCGGGCAAGCATATCTGTATGAGATACTACCATTAGACAAAATGGCAAGCCAATAAAAGATAACATTATAAAAAAAAAAAATTAGTATTCACAAAAGATTAATGCAACAGTCTTACTGGAAATGGCGCTCCATCTCCTTTACACAGTCCAAATGTATAGTGTGACCGCACGGCAACACGGCAATGCCTCTTGTCGTCTCAAAAAGATACTGCTCATAGATAATATGATGTTAAAAACGAGC